GAAGATAAATATGATATCACATATGAAGGTGCAAGGAGAAGTATATCGGGCAAAAAAGGCAAACCTACATCCAGAATAAGCATCTGTCCAGTAAGGACGTGTAATTGGTAGAATGGGTCCACTGCAATCAGCCTCCAGCTGGCAGATGCCATAGTAGAGGCTTGGTTGTTAGTCTATGCTACTAGCAAGTTAGGCAGAAAAGTAGCAGCCAGATCAGCTTTAGTGAGAGGTTGTTGAACCTCTGCATATTTTCCATCTCTGCTCCAAGTTCTTGCAGATGGGGCCATGTCAAACACTGGGGTGGCTGGGGGAAGAGTTTAGCTGATATCCAAGGAATGAATATGTTTGCCCACCTGCTCATTGATAGACCCCTCTGAAATCTAGTGGCTTTGGTGAACATTCACATGAGGCCCAAATATCCTCATACACTGGTCTCAGTTCAAGAGATTCTTCCATATTGGTCTTCCCAAACTTCCTTCTCATCAATTCTCCAACCCTATTCTTTCTTAAGTCTGTCCCTATGGACTGTCTAGTTAGTTCAGGTTGTCTACAACAAAATATCACAGACCAAGTAGCTTAAATAACACAAATTTCTTTCTCACAGTTCTGGCCACTGGGAAGTCCAAATCATAGTGCTGGGAAATTCAGGGTCTGGTAAGGTCCCACTTTTCTGATTTGCAGATAACTGCCTTTTTTTGCTGTATCCTCATAAGGCAGAGAGAGAAAATGCACTAGTCTCTCTGTTTTCTTAGAAGGGTACTAATCCCATCATGGGGGCTCCACCCTGATGACCTCATCTAAACCTAATTAATTTCTGGCCAAAGGCCCCATCTCCAAATACCATCACACTGAGAGTTAGGACTTCAACAAAAGAGTTCTGGGGGGCATACAAATATTCAGTCTATAGCATGGGAAAACCATGAGTCCTTGTATATGAATCAGTATATACCTTCTCTTCTGACCATCTCTTCATCCAGGCAAAGTGGACATTAGATAAACTGATAGACATCTTAATGCTTGGTGGGAGGATTTCCCTCACCCCCATCTTTCATGTCCTCCTCTGAGTGGCATTACAGTGCTGTAGCATATACTCCCAGCTGATACTGGATGCCTTGAATATCCATCTATAACCCAGGCACAAGTTGCTTTTTCTTCCTTAATCAAGTATTAGTAGGCAGGATGGAGACTATGATAAGGCTAGTGTGGCATGTAGGACACAAACTTTCAAGAGGCATTAATTCCCAGCATCATGTGAGTACTAACTTTTGTGAAAGAAAAGGAGAAATAATAATGTGTGCATGTATCTACTCACTTTAGCAAAAAGAAACAGAGGAAGAATCAAAGAACAAAGTGAAGAGCTTATTTCCCTCCAGGGGAGGTAGAAGCAGGGTAGAAGTGATGTGGGGTCTCTTTTTACAGATAAAGAAACTAAACTTTAGTTTATTGTGTAGTTTTGACTTTTGGAACTACAGTAATGTTTTCATACTAAAAAAATAACAAAGTAAAAGTGTGGCAGATAAAGGAGGGTACTAACTTGAAATATAAATGGCAACAAATATATCTAAGAGGAAAGGAGTTATTAACAATGACTATCTAAACACATATTAATCTGGTAGGTTTGTTTTCCCTGTGGTGTGAATTAGCAATTTTGAAACTGCTTTTACTATTTCCTCCCATGGAGCAGATAAGCAAATACATTGATGAAAACGGAACCCAGATTTTTCACTGTTGGAGAACGTTGTTAAAAATATAGAAAGTGAACAAGCCTTGGGGTATAGGATTGGAATTGGAGGTATCAGTATAAATGCATGGATTTCTATGGATACAGACATAGAATTGCATGTTTATATACATACATTTATTTCCTAGATCTTTCTTCTGAGAGGGTCTAGAAGCAGTGATATTCCAGTAGCAATGCACACACATAAAGTCCAGATGGTGGCTTCTTAAAACCATTCTTCACTAAAAGGAATTCTTAGAGAAATGGTTGGTTCTAGAACTAGAGCAAGAAAGGGATGAGATGAGCCCGGAATTTCTCATTGGACCTGAAATTAAGAATGAGGGGGACACTTCAAAAGGTTACAGAGCTTTTTGAAGTCTTTTTCTTCAGACTTGATTCAGTAATGAAGATTTAAGTGAGCTACCTTTTAGAATGCTACAAATGCACATATCATTTGTCCCAGCAATTCTACCCCTAAAAATTTTTCCTGTTGTTGAACCAGACTTATCATGAGGTTATCTGCTATAAGTGTTTGTAATAACAAAAAATTAAAAGCAATCCCAAGGACCATCAGTGAGGAAGTAAATAAACTGATACATCTGTACAATGAAATAGTGTGATGCTATAAAAGAAAAAGAATAATCAAGTTTACTATGTACCATCATTGAAAAATCTCAAGATATACCAGTGAGTTGAAAAACTGAAGTGTAGAACAATGGTAAAGGGTGGTCCTTAAGTAACAAAAGGTGTGGGAATAGTGCTCTGTGTTTGTGTACTCTATGCTTGTGTGCACATAAAACATCTCTAGGCAGTAAAACAAGAAATGAGCAATAGTGGTTGCTTGCTGGGAATACTGGTGGACAGATGGGAGAAAGGAATCGATGGGAAATTTTTACCTTGTCATTCTATACTTTTATTCATTCCTTTAAAAGTTTATTCTGGTGAAAAAAATTAATTCATGTGACCTGATCAATATAGTACAGGCATTTATGACTTGGGGAAAAGGTTAACTTTCATGCTTATTTTTGGGTTCTACATGTTGGTGAGAAGGCAGCTGAGTGAAATCCACCTTCCTGCTTTGTGGAATTTGAGTGTGTACTTTTTGATGCTTAAACCTATTACCTGGTCAAGAAATGAAGGAAGAAGAAGGGAGAGAGAACAAGTCATCTCCAGTGTTTTTCTTCCATCCTAATGGGGGCCAATGCTGATTTAGAGATGTCAAAAAGACTGGCATCTCTTTTTAGAGATAAAGAAACTAAACTAAGCAGGAAAAAGTGACTTACCTAAGAACATATGGGCAATAAATCAGCTAAAATGTTTCGAGCAAAAAGTAACAGAAGACTAGATTTAAAATAGCTTTAAAAAAAAAAAAAAGGACAGAAGTCAATTTGAAAGGGATTGAGCGGCCAAATCTGGGGAAAAATAAGTAATGATAGTAAAGGGTAATAATCCACTTGTCAGGCTCCAAGAAGGCCCGCAATGAGCCTGACCTGATTTTCATGCCCTTGTGTAGTTCTTCCCATATGGAATCAGAGCTGGCCTGGGTAAGCTGCAGAATGCGGTGGGAGCAGTGGCGTGCAGCTCCCAAGGTCAGGCCGTGGAGGCCTTGCAGCTTGTCCCTTGGACTCTTGGATCACTCACTGGGGGTTGGGGGGCAGGCGCTGTACTGGGAAGGCTCTCAAACAGTTCTGTGGAAAGGCCACCCACCGCCAGCACCTCCTCGCTAGAGCCAGCTAGCTTAGTAACACCTGGAAGTGGACTCTCTAGTCCCCGTCCAACTTCTGAGGTCCCCATACTAGCTGAGACCTGCCACAGTCCCATCAGAGACAGGAGCCAGAACCGTGCAGCCAATCATCCTGTAATCATGACCCACAAAATGCATGAGAGACAGTAAATGATTATTGCTGTTTTATATCACTAAGTTTTGGCATGATTTGTTATGCAGTATTGGAGAACAAATCGACCATGAAATAAATAAGAATCCTTGAGTTGCCCCCATGTGATATAAATAAATAAATGAATGGGGAAAAGGAACGGTCTTTTCTTTATAATAGGTTCTCACATAATAAATGTAAAGAGATGATTGAGTTAGAAAATCATTATTTTGCAACCATTGTAATTATACTTGATTTGGTATAAATAATTGTCAATAATTGATAAAATTAGTGGGTGGAAGTTTAATGAGGAACAGGATATTACATAGTCTCAAACTTATCTCCCCACAAAATGTTTACTAATTTCAAAGAAAAAGTAGTAACTTTATAGTAGGAAACCATGGCAGGCGCCACCCTGAGAAATCAGCCTCCCTCACAATGGGACAGTCACACATCATTGCCTCTTGTTATGATGCCCTGAAAACATCGTAACTCTCTTCTTAGCATTCCTGCCAAAAATGGGTAGTCTGAATCAAATGATGAGGAAACATCAGACAAGCTCAGATTGAGGGGTTTTCTACAGAATTGTCCAGTCTTTCCTTGACTGGAGCAGTTACAGATTAAAGTAGACTAAAGAGGTGTGACGACTGTTTGCAACACATGGGCTTTTGCATGTATGTGACGTATGTGATGCTCCATTTGCAGGTCTAACACTTCTAAAGAATTTAGCAATTTCTGTATTGTTTTCAAATGAGCAGAAAATGTAATATGGGGTTGGTAACTCAGAGCTTGTTATATTCTGTGTGTATAAAGCAGATCTACCCTATGCACAAAGCTTTATGAAAACCAAATTATAGTTGTTTTAATCAGATTAATCTGAGACTATTTGCTTGTCTTTTTTATTCATCTCTAGGATCTGAAACCTGAAAGGGTATGTTTGTTCTAATCTTATCTTCTTACCTTCCTCTACCCATACATATCCTTTTTACCATGGTGTATAAATGGAACTCAATTTAGGTGTTGATGATTTTATTATTGAAAGCATGTATGTGAAATCTTAGCCTCTACCTAAGTAGGGTTAAAAATGTAAACTGACCTTTTTGAAACAGATTTTAACAGTGTGGCTAAGATTCTTGCTACACATTATGAAGAAACCCATTGTATCTGTCAACATATTTCAGTAGAGCCTAAAAACAAACAAAACACATTGGTATACATGAAAGATTCCCCAAAAGGGTGGATATTCTAACGAGAATTCTAAATGCCTGGCAGGTGATGGCACAAAGGTTTGAAGTACAACTTAGGACAGAGGAATTGTGCAACATTATAATTGCATAAAAATTGTAGAGAGGGAAACCAGGCATGCAAGGTAGGCTGGCATCCACCAGAGGGAGGCTGGCCAAAGCGTAGAATGCTTTCATTGGCATAAGAAGTGGAGAGTTGGGAAGGTAGAGGTCTAAAAGGAATTTTAGAGCAACACCCTCTACAGTGTAATTCATGAATCTTGTAAAATGCTTAGTGTGCTTGGAATCCTAGAAACTGATAAAGAGGTGGAGCTTTGTATATTGATTGACATGGGGCTGAAATCATCAGCCTTTGTGGATGAGGGCACTGCAGTCAACCGAGTTACACAAGCAAACCTGAGCAACTGGCACATGAAAAAGGATCCACCTGGGAATATATTCTTTCGTGGGCCTGGTTTGGTGAGTACATGTTTCTTTCTACTCTAAAAATTGGTCAACAGTGATTTCCTGAACATTTCTTCACTAAGCCAATTTTACAGTGGGGCAATTCAATAAATTTAGTAAATTTCTTAGGCTAGTGCACAAGCAAACTCATAAGAGGATGGATAGCAGTCTGTTCACTGGTTTTCTCTGAATAGATACAGTGAGTCATCTCTTCCCCTTAGTTTACCATCTGCCAGGATTTAGAAATCAGTCCTAATTTAATCAAGAATTTACTTTATTCCATTTTCCCCTTCCTTTGATATTCTTGTATGTGAGAAGGAATAGCCTAGAATTCACACATTTATTTCTCATTGTATATGATAAACCTTTTCTGAAAGCCTCATCTCTAGTTGTAAACCAGGCAACCAAGTGAGACATTAACACCTCTTTCAGATGGCAAGGGTGAAGCTAGAATGCTAAATTTTTCTATGAGACTGAAGATTTTGTTTGGGTCAGGTAAAAATGCATTAACAGTGTTAGACTTTTAACAACACATGTTATAACATGTATATGTTATCAGATCACAATAGGCAGCAATTTTAGGCTGGAGAACCCACAGGTGTCTCCCACATAGAGACCTACCAGGTTCATAGCTAAGCTTGTAGGAACACTAAACATCAGTTCCACCTTGCTAGTATTCTGTTCTGTTCACTGTGAACATTAAAACTACGTATGGTCATAGTGAGAAGATGAACTTGATTACCGAAGTTCCTTCTGATGAAAAATGCATCAGGTCTCCACTTGTCAAAAATTTTGCTGATGGTGACCAACAAAATGCATTACATCCTTTCATTATAATCTCTGTGCTTTTTTCTAAAAAAAGCCAGTATCTCTGTAACTTGGACCTAATTTAATTATTTGCGTAGAGTCCAGTGATGGTACATACATTTAAAAAGCATTGTTCAATGGTTCAAAAGTAATTCCGTGAAGACTTTCTGCTGATTTTATTGTTATATTATAAACTGCTCACTCAAAGAGAGGTAGAGAGGTATTAATCTTGGCTCTTACGTGCATGGTTTGGAAAAGTGTATCACTTGGTAATCCTGAACATGGGATATCTATGGTAGGGCATCACAATAATGAAGTTACAGAATTTGAAATGACATGGTCTTTCTTTTGAGAATTATATCAGGAGCTTTATTTACCTGGTGTTCTGGTGTGCTCTTGCACAAAATTAGGTTCTTTTGATATTTCAAGGGGAGGAATTTCAGCAATTCTGACAGGACAGAGGAACTGGGATGGAAGGGCCAGAGCAGAAACTGAATGAAATACTTAACTTTTTATTTTGGTATAATTAATCTTCAATTACATGAGGAAC